TTGATTAATTCATTAACTCATACCATTTCTCTGCAAATATAACAATATCACTTGAAGACATTTTGATTAATTCATTAACTCATACCATTTCTCTGCAAACATAACAATATCACTAGATGGCATTTTGATTATTTCATTAACTCATACCATTTATAACCAATATAACAAGATCAATTGGAGACATTTTGATTAATTCATTTACTCATACCATTTCTCTACAGATTAAACAATATCACTAGCAGACATTTTTTTTTTTTCATGTCACTTCGCTGGTGATATAACAATATCACTAGAAGACATTTCGATCAATTCATGCCACTTCTCTACTGATAAAACAATATCACTAGAAGACATTTTGATTAATTCATTAACTCATACCATTTCTCTGCAAATATAACAATATCACTAGAAGACATTTTGATTAATTCATTAACTCATACCATTTCTCTGCAAATATAACAATATCACTAGAAGACATTTTGATTATTTCATTAACTCATACCATTTCTCTGCAAATATAACAATATCACTAGAAGACATTTTGATTAATTCATTAACTCATACCATTTCTCTGCCAATATAACAATATCACTAGAAGACGTTTTGATTAATTCATTAACTCATACCATTTCTCTGCAAACATTACAATATCACTAGAAGGCATTTTTTTTAATTCATGTCACTTCGCAGCTGATATAACAATATCACTAGAAGACATTTGGATTCATGATACACAGGCATATACAATCGTGATTCACAATATACTCTGACATATACACTCGTGATTCACAATTAATGGATACATGATACTCAGGCATATACAATCGTGATTCACAATTAATGAATACATGATACTCTGACATATACAATCGTGATTCACAATTAATGGATACATGATACTCTGAAATATACAATCGTGATTCACAATTAATGAATACATGATACTCAGGCATATACAATCGTGATTCACAATTAATGGATACATGGTACTAAAGCATATACAATCGTGATTCACAATTAATGGATACATGATACTCTGAAATATACAATCGTGATTCACAATTAATGGATGCATGATACTCAGGCATATACAATCGTGATTCACAATTAATGGATACATGATACTCAGGTATATACAATCGTGATTCACAATTAATGGATACATGATACTCTGAAATATACAATCGTGATTCACAATTAATGGATGCATGATACTCTGACATATACAATCGTGATTCACAATTAATGGATACATGATACTCTGAAATATACAATCGTGATTCACAATTAATGAATACATGATACTCAGGCATATACAATCGTGATTCACAATTAATGGATACATGGTACTAAAGCATATACAATCGTGATTCACAATTAATGGATACATGATACTCTGAAATATACAATCGTGATTCACAATTAATGGATGCATGATACTCCAGGCATATACAATCGTGATTCACAATTAATGGATACATGATACTCAGGTATATACAATCGTGATTCACAATTAATGGATACATGATACTCTGAAATATACAATCGTGATTCACAATTAATGGATGCATGATACTCAGGCATATACAATCGTGATTCACAATATGCTCTGACATATACAATCGTGATTCACAATTAATGGATACATGGTACTAAAGCATATACAATCGTGATTCACAATTAATGGATACATGATACTCTGAAATATACAATCGTGATTCACAATTAATGGATGCATGATACTCAGGCATACACAATCGTGATTGACAATTAATGATTCATGATACTCTGACATACACAATCGTGATTCACGATTAATGGATACATGATACTCAGGCATATACAATCGTGATTCACAATTAATGGATACATGATAGCCAGGCATATACAATCGTGATTCACAATATACTCTGATATATACAATCGTGATTCACAATTAACGGATACATGATACTCAGGCAAACACAATCGTGATTGACAATTAATGGATTCATGATACACAGGCATATACAATCGTGATTCACAATTAATGAATACATGATACTCAGGCATATACAATCGTGATTCACAATTAATGGGATACATGGTACTAAAGCATATACAATCGTGATTCACAATTAATGGATACATGGTACTAAAGCATATACAATCGTGATTCACAATTAATGGATACATGATACTCTGAAATATACAATCGTGATTCACAATTAATGGATGCATGATACTCAGGCATATACAATCGTGATTCACAATTAATGGATACATGATACTCAGGCATATACAATCGTGATTCACAATTAATGGATACATGGTACTAAAGCATATACAATCGTGATTGGGGTCGTGATTGCAATGATCGTGATTGACGTGATGGAGCCGACTGGAAAATTCAGAATTAATGGACGAAAGCAAATATCCTGTATATTTACCGGATCATAATTATACTACTGATCTTATTATTTTACACAAGCATAATGAATTATATCACGCAGGTATTGCACATACGTTAGCTGAATTAAGACGAAAATATTGGATACCGAAAGGAAGAGCTGCTGTAAAACGAATCATAAACCTATGCTGTTATTGCATTCGCTGGAAAGCTAAACCGTTTAAACTGCCAGCGATGCCAAGTTACCACAAACACGAGTAAAACGATCCAGGACCTTCGAACAAGTCGGCCTTGATTATATGGGTCCTCTTTCAGTCAAAATCTAATACTGGTCTAGTCAAAAGATGGATAGCACTTTTACGTGCTTCACTACCAGAGCGGTGCATCTTGAAATGGCGGAGAATTTATCTGCCGAGAATTTTTCACATGTTTTAAGAAGATTTATCGCTCGACGTGGATATCCAAAATTAATATTAAGCGATAATGCAAGCCAATTTCAACTGGTATTCAAAATCATTATGGAAGAAAACGCTAACTTTTTGGCTAGGGTATGATATGGAAAAATACTATACCAAGAGCACCATGGGGGGGTGGTGTATATGAAAGACTTACAGGACTCACAAAAAGGGCATTAAGAAGAGCAATAGGAAGAAAACTACCAAAGGAAGGAGAATTAATAACATTAATAGTTGAAATAGAAGGAATCCTTAATACCCGTCCATTAACTTATGTAGGGTTTGACGACTACAGAATCATTCGTCCAATTGATTTTATATCACCTATGGCTTCATTAGATCTACCAATAAATTATGATAGTCATCAAGATGAATATACCCCTTATACAATAAAGACTAAAGATAAATTAGTCAAGTATTGGACTACCACTCTTAACACATTAGATGTCTTTTGGAAGTTGTGGAAAGAAGAATATCTTATAAGTCTTAGAGAACGCACACAGAGAGAATTAAAATCACCTAGAATAGTAGAAAAAAGAGTACCACATGAAAATGAGATAGTATTACTAAATGAACCAGAAATACCTCGTGGTGTATGGAAATTGGCAAGGATAATAAAAATTAATCGAGGATGGGATGGAAAAATAAGGAGTGCAACAATACAATTACCGAATGGAAAACAAATCGATCGATCAATAAATATGCTTTATCCTATGGAAATAGATGCTACTGAAGATAAAGAAGAAAGAGTGGAAGATGAACCAGAAGAACCCATTGCTCGACGAACCAGAAGTGCTAAAAATCACAGACTACAGTCTTTGCAAAAGACAAGTCTAATCTTCTGATAAAAACTTTATCATTAATAACGATGATGGCATTAATACCAAGACAAGTATTAGCTAACAATAGCTGTAATTGGATTACTGGTGTACCCTTTAATATTCCTGAAAAATGGAATTGTGAAGAAATTATTCACAAAAATGCTACATATCACAAAGTGATGTGTACACACGCACCCATGTAAGAATACCAGCTATAAAATGTAGCAACATTACACGGACTGTATGCACGAAAGCTTTTCTCAGAATATCGCTATCGGTAGTGTCAGACCATACGTCTACTACCGCAACTTCCTCACAATTCTGCAGATATTTAAATGTTCGAAAACAAATGAACGGAATTAGACTGATTCAATGTTCTCCTAATCAATGGATAACTAATAAGGAAATACAATATTCCTATGGATGGTTAGGAGTTAGCTGTCAATCAACCTCAAACTTCATATTAACTCAAGGAGAAATTCTCATCTACGATGGAAGAAGGTTAGTCTCTAACCTTGAAGATATAAAAGACTGTTCGACACAAATGGGTGAATGCATAATGAATACTAGCATTATCACATGGAATAGCAATGATACGACCAATCATTGTTTATATCGAAAGATCGGAAGATACAAGGCTACAAAGTATAACAACCACTTCATCATCGATGAGATACAAGCATCGCTTATAACTGGTAAAAACCCCCCTGTATTAAACACCAAAAATTGTAGATTCACCTCTCCAATTTTAATGCAGGGCGATATAGTTATTGAACTAGACATTGAAGATGACTCGAACTCTATTACAAAATTCAAACGAAGAGTAACAAATAAACTATTGATGATGGAAAAGTCTCCAGATAGAAAATACGATCCTGAAAATGTAAAACTTCAATACCTTTCTGATTCACTAAGACAAGAATTCCTTCAACACTCAAAGAAAACACAGCAGAGAAGTTTCCAAAATAGAAATAACCTATTACTTTTGATCAAATGGCTATCAATCAGCAATCTACCCTTGCCACGAAACTAATACTTCAAAGAGACGATGTGATAGCTAAAAGAATTAACGGAAATTTGATGGTGGCTCCTTGCAAATCAGAACAATCAGCAATCGAAAATATCGAATTCAAAGGAGATTTAATAAGTAAATTTGAAATTGAAAGAATTAATGCAGAATTGGAAACTTATATTATTTTGCTTATATTATTAGAATTGGAAAATTATATTATCAAACCCAAAAAACAATTAATTCAATACCACATCAAATGAAGGATGAACTCTTTTGGCAAGAAATCTCTGAAGAAGGAGAAGAAATTATCAAACAAATGGAAAGGGAATTCGATGAAATTGTTCTACCGATACAAGAAGAATTTGAAAACTTGATAACAAACTGGAAATTGATTTTTATCTGTATAATAATCGTGACATTATTAACTATTTTAATTATTATTAAGTGGAAATTTAAATTAGTTCAATCTCTCCTTTGTAATACTTCAAAACGAAATTCAAATCAAACTACCATCATTACTCTCCCTATAGAAGCACAACACACTCAATTTCTAACTAAAGAAGAAATCCCACCTATTAAACTTCATACATTTAACTATATACCTCAAAATCACTCTCTCAAAATTATTTCTTAAAACAATTTCTCTCCCCTTTGGGAGTGTCGCGAATTGTAATTTCGCGAAAAACTTCTAACTGTCACGAAATATTTAAATTATTATATCCAAAACTAACAAATTCCTCTTATCTAATTCCTAAATCTAATTTACATTTACAAAATTCATCTCACACCTGATGATTCAATTTCCGAATATTTTTGCATTTGTAATTCAGCTATGACTCATACTAATCTATTTCCTCCTTTCATACAATAAAACTAATCTTGTTAAATAGCGATAAGATGTGATAAAAATAATTAACACCTGCAAAACTGTTTAGGGAAATCATTACATTGTTAACAATCTTGTTTTTTCATCCATAGAAATTCTTCCATCTAATTTCCATTCATTAAATCAGTCTTATATATAAACCAATCAATCCTTCTATAACCATCATTTGCTCTATGTTTTGGGTGATATTTGCATGCGTCTAATACTTTATAATTTCGTATTATTTCACCATTTTTATATTATTGCATTACTTTACGTGTTTGTTAATCGGTGTAGCATCCGTACGATATGTATAAAGCGCTATTATTTGCCTCATGTTAAATAAAGGTTTAATTACCCAAGTTTGAGGTTTATTAATCTTCCTACTGTATTGCAACAATTCGAATATCAACCAACAGACAACCTTTCACGACACTTGTCACCAATTCCAGCTAAAGTCTGAATTATAATTTATTTGACATAAATGATATAAAATTTAGCAAATTAAGGAATTTTAAAAATAAAATTAAAAAATTGTTACGAATGAAAGTTTTAGATGTATTTTGTATGAAATTTACTCATACATTGGAAAATATTATAATAAAATTTGCATAGTTGATAATTAGGATCAAATGTGCCAGTTTTTCCATCTTTATTAATAGGAGCTTGTAGACCACCATCACCACCACCAATATCTTTCTTTTGTCTTGACCGAATATTTCACCACCTACACTAACCAGTGTCTGATAGTTTGGATCATAGGTTCCTAAAAAATTTTTTTAAAAAGCTCCCTTTCTAATGATATTGGTTTAATTAAAAATTTCAAAACAGGTTATTTTCAACATAAAAATTGTTCTAAAATGCATGATTAATTAATTAAGTTTCAGCAACTTGTGGTGTCTGTGGTCCTCCGCCACCACCATCAGTATCAGCGCCGGCAGTTCTCTTTTTATCTTCACCAAATACTTCACCATCTACACCAGCTGATGTTTGATACTTCGGGTCATGTGTTCCTAAAATTAATCTTTGTAAAATTATATAAGAGCAAATCATTTAAACACTTAAAAAGATGCAAAAGCCCAAATCTTGTTATTATTTTAGCTTCAAAAATTATCATTTTATCATTTAGCTTGTAACCAAAATTTTATTTTTTCAAATATTAAAATCATCATGAATTAATTCTTTTTCTTGAGTGTTAGAATTATCATGAATTTGTGAACTAACTCACCGGACTATATCTCCCTGTCCAGGTGCTTTTGGTACTTCTGCAAAGGGACAGCACCACACTCTAAAAAAAAATTGTACACAAAAAAACCTAAATAATTACCTATTAATAGACAAACAATGCAAAAAAAAAACTGACAGAGAAAAGGTTATAATAAAAGGATAATTTCAAATTTTAGTAAAACTTATTTGATTAAATTGATCTCTGTTTGCTGCAGCAGCAGAAAAATCCTACTTGCGCACCTGCAAATTATTTTAATAAATTTTATTATTATTTTTTTTTTTTTAATAAATTTTTCGATTTATTACTATCCGCTAGCTGTCATCTCAACTATTAAAAATTATTAGAATTATTTGTTATAACAATATATTTTAGTAAATCTCAAACTCACTTGATAAATTAACTTCTGCCTTTAATGTATATCACACGACCATTAAATAGATCATTGAATTAAATTAAATTAATGCATTTTCAGTTTCGAAAAAATTTATCTAAGAAGATTTTAATTTCATTTTAATATATATGTTATTATCAATAATTTGAATAATCCTAATAATTTGAATAATCATATCAATAATTTGAATAATCATAATTAGTCACATGGTACTATTATCAAATTTAATTTAATAAGTTGTTCGTCTTAAAAAGAATTAATGAAATTAACTGAATGAAAAAAAAATTGTTCCACAAACATTCATAATAATTATAAAATAACATACCTTGTTCATTAGTCGTTCCTTTTTGTTCCTTTGTGGCTTTCTTTTAAAGTAAATATTTTCAAAAAAATAAAAAAAATTAATGACTGCAACTGATATTTATTGATAGTTAATAAAATTATCACTTTTTCTTTGATAAATACAATTAATAAACTTTTTGTTTATTTTTTCTGACGAAATTCTTGTAGAAAAATCGAAAATTAAAAAAGCAAAGTCAGCAATGAGAAAAAACATAGTAAACAATGATATAACAAGTACAAATAATCTTATCGTTGAATGATAGTAAGTAGCTATTTGACCATTATTTTGATTTTATCATTACAGCGATTATCTATTTCATTGACTAGATAAGTACAAATATTGTTATAGGTAATGGAAAACTTAAATATTTCTCAATATATTTCTTACAATCACTAAATTAATAGATTCTTCTTTTATTATCATATATAATTGAATATTATCACATATAATTGAAAATTTAAATGAGAATATTTCTCAATATATTCTTACAATTATTAAATTAATTAATTTAGATTTTTTTATTTTTTGCAAAATTTTTTTAAATGAATTGCATGAGGAGTTAATACAATAAATTACGGCAACATATAGCAATAATACAATGGAAAATCAACAATATAAGTGGTTCAACCAATTTCAATTCATCCATTATTATTATTATTAATATTTTTAAATTCCTTTTTTATCTACTCTTTCTTCGTTATCCATAAACATAATATATTAGAATATGTTGTGAGCATGAAAAAAAATCAGTAATGTATTTGAAAAAAAAGTATGAAATAAAACAAAAGTTAAAGATAGATAAAATTTTGCATGTGCGCAATATTATCTGATAAAGTTAATAATAACACCTTTTTTTGAATGCTTTTTCATTCCTTCACTTGATAGCGATAATTTATTTCAAAAATAGCATATTTTCTTTCCTATTAAAATTTCCGATTTAATTTATCAAATTCACATTATTTTAGAAAAATACAAAATGATAAGAACTCAATTAATCACTTTGATAATGAATGCAGACTTCTGCTTTTCATTGTACTTCTAATAAGAATAACAAATATATTACCTTTTTATAACTGCTGTACTAATTGTTTTCGCATTAAATGCTATACAATAATTAAAATTTTTCTCTTTTTTTTCTGCATAATATCGTAAAAATGCTGCAACCTAAGTATTAAAAAAGAGAAACGACAAAAATTTTATATGATTAATCAATTCCAAATTGATTTATCTAAACTGAGAATTAATGTAAATTGAATTTAATTCAATTGAGACAATTTTGACAATGCAATGTTTTTATTTTTTACAAACTTTACAAATTTTTATGGTTTCATATACTATCTATTTGGAAAATAATCTTTTCATTATGCTTTTAATTTTCCTTACTAAAATAGAGAAATAGTAAAATAGACTTATGATTCTTAAACATTCAATTCATATGTGAAGTGTATGAAATGAATAAATGTAAATGTGAATTGTAAAGTATCCATATTTAATTGTTTTTTTGTATTCAATAATTTAAGCATTATTTTAAATTTACTAGCATTGTTTCTATACAGATATTTTAAGCAGAATTATATGGTAAATTGAAATAAGATTAATTATTAAAAGAAAAGGAAAATTAATCACCAATAATTTAAAGAGTATGATAAAACTGATATTAAAGTATTACTTAATTTGAATATTACTAGGAAAAAACTTGAGTTGAAAGATTTCATTAAATTATTTGTTAACGTTGTCTCATCACTTTTAATATAGAAGTTTGAACAATATTTTTCAGATTTGTATTTAAATTTAAATGCAACAATATTTTAATGAGTGTAAATAAATTTATTGAATTCTTTTTGCTTTATTTGAAATTTTGTTAGTAAAAGAACTATTAAACGATTCAAAACATTTGAAAGCTATGAATCATTTAACTGCTCTTTTAAAATTATTACTTTGTTCTATACTTTATGAGATAGATTATCATTTTGTACACCAATTTTTTTTTTGTTTTTTGTTTTTTTCAAATCCAAAAAATTTATTTATTTATTCATCCTTCTTTTCCTCTTCATCTTTCTTCTCATCCTTCTTTTCTTCATCTTTCTTTTCCCCTTCCTTTTTTTCGCCTTCACCTTCCTAAAAAAAGAAAAAACAAGAATTTCTTTCCTCAAACCTTTATTTCCTAAAAAAGAAATTTCTTTTCTTAAATTTTTATTTTTATATTATTGAAATCAATAATTTAGGAAGTAATTTTAATCCAATAATAAAAAAAGAAAGAAAAATGTACTTCTTTCTTGGATCCTTCCTTCTTTGACCCTTCTTTTTTAGAACTTTCCTTCTTCGAACCCTTTTTCTCTTTCTGAATTATTTTTTCATTTGTTTTCTTTTTCTTTAATTCATAAATGAAATAAATGGATGAGAGATAGAAAATTGAAAACTGAAAATCTCATTACCTCTTTCTTTGATCCCTCCTTTTTAAAATTTTCTTTCTTGGAACCATTCTTTTTTTCACCTTTTTCTTCCTGTAAAAATTTAAACCATTAAATATGATCTTCCGCTTACCCTGACACTTTACCTTGTAGCGATAGGAATTGAAGAATTTGTTTTGTTATGTACTCTATTATTTTCTCATTTCAAGTATTCTGCAACAAAGAATTGCTGATAATTGTTTGCAAAAGGCCAAAGGACAATACCAGAACTTAATCCTAAATATAATTGAGATATTTCGAATTGATCAATTTCAAAAAAAATCTATTAAAATCTCTATTTCAAGACACAAAACAACGAAAAAAACTACTTACCTCTCCCTCTTTCTTTTCTTCCTTTTTCTCTTCACTCTTTTTACCTTCCTCTTTCTTATCACCCTCGCCCTGTTTTTTGTCCTCTTCCTTCCTCTCACCCTCACTTTCCTTTTTTTCATTACCCTTTTTCTCCCCCTCACCATCTCCACCGTCTTTCTTTTCTTGTTCTGATTTCTTGCTTTTCTTCTCACCTTCCCCTTCCTTCTTCTCATCTTTCTTCTCTTCTCCTTTATTTTCCACGGTAGGTTGTGCAGCTGCTGCCGGAGCAGCAGCTATCGGAGTGGCTACATCTCCTACTGGTGTCGGTGGCTTATCACTGAAATATTCGTTATTGATAATCTGTGCTGTAATATACTTTTGATAATATTGCGAGATTATGTAAGAAAAGAATATTTCCATAGCTTCATCACCTCTTCATGATCACAAGTCAAAACCGGAAATCGGAATGCGTCTTCTGAATAATTTTGAAAATAATCAGTTTTTCAACTTAATCAAAATCAAAGAAGGAAGTAGGAGAGAAAGAAAAGAAAAGAGAAATAGAAGAAGGAAGGAGCTATAAAATAAAGTACTGTCAACTGTTAATGCTTATAAACAGTTATTTTTTCAAAGCCTATTAGATTATTAGCTTATGCTTACTAAGCATTAATTAGAAAAATTGTAATAATTTAATATCGCTTTAAAAATTTGAGCATTTTAATTCTATAATCTGAAATATTTGAAATCGATCTTTAAAATAATTTTTAAAATTTAAAATAATTTTTAAAAAAAGAATTTTTGGATATAATTTTAAAATAAAAAAATCATTTAAACACATGTAATTTTAAAAAAAATCATTTTTTTGAAAAGCCAACAAATAATTATAATTCTAACTTGTTAAAAATAATTTCAATTTTCTTATAATTTTAGAAATTATGACAAAAACTAACTTTTTTTTAGCATTACATTGTATAATACTTAAAATGATCAGTGTTGGTGCAATAATATTACTCAGTAATGATAGAATAGAAGTAGTCATTATGATAATAGCCATATTATCTTCTTCCAGTTATTATTCTGACAAATTTCGATTAAATTAGAGTTATTAATTAATTAATTAATGAATCATAAAATAAAAATAATTTGTTTAATTTAGTCTTTTATTTAAAAAAACTTCCAAATGTAAAATCAAATGATATGAAATATTTCTGAAAAGATTGTTGCAAGAGCAGTGGAAGAAGCAACCAGTTATGAGCAATCCTCAAATGAAAAAATAACTTTATCGATCATATTCAAACTCTTCATATATTATCTTTTTTTTTTTTTTGCAAAACATTTTGATGATAGCAAACAAATTCACTTATAAATATCTCTCAATATCACTTATTTATTCATTGTTTTTATTATTTTGTTAGCTGGAATAATCCATATTTAATAGCTTATTATTAATAATTCTAGACGTAGTAATTCATATTAATTATATTTCAGCAGTTTAGCATTAATTAAAATTTTTGAAATAAAATTTATAATAAAGTTACATTTAAACAGCATTGATATTCTTTTCTGTTAAAAAATGTTATAGAAAAATAGCTAACATAATGGTATATCAAATATTTTTTACAAATCCTAAAAAGCTTTTATTACATTAATTTTTAGAATTTGGCAACTAATAATGTAATATTTATAATGAACATTGTATCTTATATCTTATAATTTAAGTTGTAAAGCAAATTAAAATAGTTAATCAAAGTTTCAGAAAATTATCTGCTATGATTATAATGTAAATGTAGCAAATTTAGTTTTGAACATTCAAATTATTGTCAAGTTAATAAAATTACATAAAAATTTTGTAGTGCTAAAAATAGGTGAAAATATAATGTCACTGTGAAAGATTCTAAATCAAAATTAAAGTTGCAAATTTTTCTATTAAAAAAATAAATTGTAAAAAATTTTTATATCAAAAATTTTATAAAATTATATCACAAAGAAAATAATACTCATGATGATGACATCAGTATTATCATTCTGTAATCATCGCTGAAATGATCGCTATCATTTCCGATCAAAATTCATTGACAACTTTTATCATTATTGTACTTTTAATACTTTACATATATCATCCGTTTTTGTGAATTTATTGCCCATATATTAACGTAATTTTATCAATTTAATATTCACCCAATTTCATAAATTAAAAAATAATTTTTATCAAATGATATTTTTTCGGACGAACAGTATTTAAAGCATAGTTATTGTATAAAAAGAAAAACCAAAATTTATTATAATATTTAGGAAAATATTTAGTATTACACGATGTAAAAGTATTATGAGTAACGTAAACGCATTTATCAAGAATATGATTTAATAAAGTATATATATGTTTAATTATATTGTTCTAATGAAAAATTTAATTGAAAGAAATCAATTTGAAATGATAATAATTTCTTGTTGTTATCTTCATGTATCCATTATATGAATTATCATTAATTCATTTGATAAGCAATTTATCATGAATGCATTGTAATCATATTGCATACTGCAATCCACGTAAATGCCTTGACAATTAAACATTATTTATTAGAGATTTAAAAAAATAAGAATAATTTATTAAAAAATTTACATTATTTAATAATTATATAGCAATATATTGTTAATCGAAATTTAATTATTAATAATATTTATTATTAATAATAATTAAATTTCGATGTAACATGATATAAAGATAGGTTGCTATGATATATTAATAAACCAACACTGAACCACATTATTCTTCTTATCTATAATTCATAAATAGTAATATATTATTTTTAATTTAAAACAAATATATAATTTCAAATGATTTAAAAATATTTATTCATCAACCACACTCTTTACTTTATCTATAATTTTATTGATGTCATATATACCTTTTTTTTTTTCCCTAACTAGCTATTAGTTAGAATTATAACACGTAAAGAAGGCACAGACACATATTAAGATATACGTATTATATTGCATTTTCAAATACATACATCATTTTATTAATCATATTTAAATAAAAAGAATTATTAATCAGTAAAGAAATCATTTAAATGGTTAGTGAGAAAAAGAAAAAAAAGATCATTTTTAGGAATTTTTTCGGGTTATTCTATTTTTTTGAATTTTTAAGGATTTTTCCATTCTGTGGAGATTTTTTTTCTTTTTTCATAAAATTACACAAAATTTTTAAGGATTTTTTCATAAAATTACAAAGGGCAAAGAAATAATTAAATAATTTTGATAATTTTATAAATTTAGTTATATTAGAAATTAATCTAACCCAATTATATTTTTCGCGTAATCCGGCAAAAACATCCGGCAGAACAATAAATGTCCAAATGACAAGAGGGACAAATAAAATGAAACCGATTATAGGCATAAATATATGATCATAATAATTTGCATTGAAATAACAATGACTGCATTTATTGTTAAAATTAGGCCCGCTGTTTGCTTTTTATAAAATATTATCATTATTATCATTTATTACTGCTACCATTATTATTACCAACACTATTAATATTATTGTTTGCTACTATTATTATTATCATTATTGTCATTATTTTTGTTTTATAGTTTCTTAATTTATAAGTATATTTTAATTTTATTAAATTACCATTAAATTTTACACTCATCTAATTATTGCTATTATTTATTTTTTAATGAAAATTCATTCTTTTCTTCAATAAATATTTTCTATTCATTGGATAGCAATCCTTATATATGAAATTATATTTTTCATAAAATTTCATGGTTATCTTTTTTCTCCTTTTTTGGAATAATTTAACTATCCAAACTGAATTCCAGTAAATACTTGAATTTTGATTAAAATTTATAAATATGTAAGAATTTTTATGTACCATCACTGCTATTTCCTCTTTTTTTTTTTTTGGAATATCTTTTAGTTAGTTGTTATAACTGAAATAAATAATTCAGGAAATAAATTTTGGCCTAGCAAAATTTAGAATTAAAAGAGAGATTTGGAAGCTTCTATGAATTTATTTATCTGTTCTATGAAATCTGCTAATTAATAGTTAGTAAGCTGTGTTACCATAGCTCGGATTGTAAATTTTATAAAAATAAGACAAAAAAAGAATAATTTATCATTGATACATCTCATAAAAATTAATAATATGCATTCAGATATTTTATTTTTAAATTATGGATTTGAAACAAAAACATATTTGAATAAAAGATTACAACAAAGCATTATTAAAAATCATTTACTTATGATATAATTATGTCATTTAAAGAAAATTAAACTGTTAATAATAGAAAATTACAAATGAAATGGCAAATTACACTAATGAAGTACTTTGCAATCAATCCTACTGCAACTTTTCTTTATAATTAAGATTAGAAAAAATATAAATAAATTTTATTTGGTGAATGTCGTTAAATAAGTATAAATAATTTCAAATAGCATGGATATAAAAAAACAAAAACTGATCTTTCTTTTTTTGGTTACAAATCTATTTATAAAATAACTTCATTTATTTTTGTTATTGTTTTTTATTTTATTTATTTATTTATAATACTCTATTTTGTTATTATTTTTTTACTTTTATTTTTTTAAATGAGTTTTCATTTGTTGCTTTTCTTTTATTTATTTTAATTATCATTTTTTTTTAAATTAGATAACAAAAAAATTCATTTTTATCAACAACAACAAAAAAAAATTCATATCTTAATATTATCTAATTAAAATAAAAGGACAAAAAAGAAAAAAAAAAACTTTTAGCTTGCTTATGAAATAAAAATGCAAAAATTAGTACACTGAAGTTGGCAAATCTTTTTCTTTTTATAAAAACCTAATTTATTGTAAAACAAACATCAAAAAATTAAACTAACTATAATAATAATAAATAGACGTTTTAATACTTTAATATAATAAAAAACATAGAATCAAATTTATGAAGATTATTTTAACACTCTATAAATCACATATCAATAGCCAATTCTCAAAGCTCTTTTGATTATGATTTTTCTACTTAATTATACATTAAGCATATTTTATTATGAAAAGTTTAACATTCAGAATTTATTGTCTATCACTAAATGTGTTTTCAATATTATATTATAACTTTTTTTAGATAATACTAAACAATACGTAAAGTCAATCTATTATCACTTATACATGCAAATATACTCATTTAATGCTTAGATTTATAGTATTCATTGGGCAAAAAATTTGTCACACATTTATATATTGCTTTTTGCAATTAATTAACACGCCAAAAATTATTAGATAAACATAAAACGGGAGAGAAAAAAGAAGATCGTTGAATGAACCGTTGAAGAATAAGGACGGTTTTGTGATAAAAAAATTACCAAATTGAGCAAATTGTAAAGCAATATAATGTAAGGAATGATTAAAAACGAAACATTTTTACTTGTAAAAAAATATCTAACTTCAATATGCTAATTATTTTAACGGTTAAAATTCAACTAATTAGAAGAAAAAGAATAGATGGCAAAAAGCTCACCAAATTTGACATAATTAAATTAAAGTTGTTAAAAAATTGGTAATAAAAATAAGAGATACGTCAAGCGGTAAAGATGCAACATGTAACTATTGAATTATCAATCTATATGGATAAGGAACCTGCATAACTTTTTTCTTTGAAAATCAAAAAAATTATAAAGACAAATTATAACGAATTTGAAGAAGACCAGTATTTGAGGTCATATTTGAGGTGAATAAAGGAAATAACTGGCACTGTTTTATTGCATCAAACAATTTGATCCGATATTGAAAAGTTATAAAGACTTAGAAAGAACATGAAGTACTGAAATTCTGCGACATAATATCCAAAATTACAATTCAATTAAAGATTATAAAAATTTAAGAGACTTAAATGGCAGGTCCTCTCGAAAATAGAACATTTATTGTATTGAAAAGCTAAATATATAGATTGGTAACAAAAAAAAAAAATTTTAGAGGTTTCAAATAAACTGGTTTCCACTGTTGCCATTAACTAATTGTAATTATTTCCCAACCCAAACAAGCGAGATTATATGTAAAAAGGCAATATTAAAGTAAGCTTTTATTATAGTTTTTATTATATTATTACTTTTTTAAAATTATCTTATCGTGCAATTTTACCAATCAACTGTTTGCCGGCTTGTAGCCATTGCTTCAATAAATATTCATAATAGCTATTTACTCCTGCACCCATAATAATGATTATTTGCTCTAAATAAAACAAAAATAATGCATTTTCTACATAAAATAATTTTCCAAACAGCTACTTACATAATTTACATTCAAGATGAAAAACAAGTAATAGAATATTTAAGTTAAAGTAACAAAAAGGACACAATCAATCATCTTTAAATCATCTTGTCACTGGACTAATAATATATCAAAGTTCACCATATTCAAGACAACCTTCGTTGTGTATATGCTCGGATGTTCGAAATGCAAGAATCACTACATATATATATATAGTTATGAATATAAAAAAATTAACTTAATTCATTTCATTTAATTTCCAAATAAAAATTGCAATTCTAAGTTAACCCTAAAGCTACAAGATAAATAAAACTTACTTTATAAGTGTTGTTGTTAATTACTTGAGAAAGATCTCCCAATTCTAACTGAATGCTGGTTACTTCAGGAAAAGAACAATAAGTATTCCATGATCGTTGCCCTGCTTCCCTAAAAAACACTTAAAAAATATGCAGGACAATTGTCTGAAATTATTGCTAATGACTTCAAAATAGATACATTTCACATTATGCAAAACATATCATTTGACTGATTGCGTTATCAGTAAAAACAGTGCGCATGAACTGTTTAACGTGTTATAAAATTTTAAAAGACAATAGGTCATTAGTCAAAATCAAATCTACTTACGCAAACAACACAATGTGATATGATAATCAAAAGTTAAAGGTATACGGAATGTTGTTATGAAATGGTTATATTTTGCATAAAAAGTCTTCCAAAAAAAGATGTCCAGAAATAATTTAGAAAAGAACATAATTTATGAGATCTATGTTATCTATATTATTAGAAATATAATTGCACTTTATTATATAACAAATTAAATATCTTTTAAGAATTAAATAAGTTATTGCTAAGCAGTTTTCAATCATGATGACTAACTTTTGTCATTAGCTAAAAATATAGTCTAATAATAAGATGCTTGCATATAAAATTACAACAAAGAAATAAAAATATTCGTAAGGCTAACGTCGCTGATGGAATAGGAGATAAGGTTGCATAAGCTGCAGTAAGTCCAGAACCAAGATCGTGAGCACGATGAATAAACATTTGATCACCACTTAATAAACCACCAAATACGCATATAGTTGTTTCGAAGAACTCACAAAACAATTCTTCTCAAACGACAACGATTCAGCAATCCATTTTCTTCCTTCTTCGTATTCTTAATAATAAAATAAAACGTAAAAAGCTTTTCTAAAATAAAATTTCCTTTTTTAACTTTTTTTTATCACAATACTTTTCCTTCATATGTATAGTTGTAACTTATAATTTATGATATTTAAAAGATTTCGTAAAACTTACTACATGAAGTTCCATAATAATGGCAGTTGATATCAACAACAGTTGATATCAAATCAACAATTGTCAATTTTAAATCAAACCAATCATTATAAGACTTCGTAACCGGCTTCAAATGATCATATCCACAAGCATATTTTTTATATCCTTCCCAAACATGCTTTAATACTTCCATCACTGCTTTTTGTTTATCGTTTTGCGGCCCTAAAAACAAAAAGAAGAAAAAATAGCAACTGTTGTAAAGAACAATCAAAAATACAAACAGTACGAATCTTCAAAGATCCACGAAAACTTTAATACAAATCTTAGATTTAGAAAAATATTTGCTGATCACATAAGAATAAAAAACATATAACCTTGCCAGATGAATTCATAAGAAAGGCTATAGTTAATATATTTAAGATTTTGAATCTTTTCTCAGTTCGCAATATTGCTACTATTATTTTCATTGCTTTCAGAATTTTCACGACTCTGATTCGTCACTGCTGTATCTTTGCATGATATTTCTTCCGCTGACTAAAAATCAGAGGAAAAAAATGAACGTAAGTATTGAATCAAAGATGAAAAGATAAAATATATTAAAAAAACTAAAGCAACTTTAACTAAAGCACTTAAAATTTTTTTTCGGAAAATTTTAAATTTTTAAATTATATAAATTATGCGAGTAATAGAGAAAACAATAATAAGAACTTTATTATTATTAGGATGCATATTGATTAGTTCCGCACCATTTGTAATATTTTTTGATAACTGATATGTACTGTCACACCTGCTGCATCTTGTGCTGCAATAAAACAAATGAAGAATAGAAAAAGAAGTAGAATGAGCAGAGAGAAAAATGTTGTAAACGAGCCAGTGATCGCTAGTATTAAAAAAATATTTATTAAATTTACTTTTAAATTAAAAATTTTTGAGAATGTTTATAATTTAAGAATATCTGTAATTTAATAGCATTACTATTAAATTTCTATCCAAATTTGTATAATTTGATCAAATATTCTTATAATATCTATTTAAAAATATGCTGCCGAAAACATTTTTATACTCAATAATTTTTACAATTAATAATTTCTCACTTACTCGGCATAGATGTAGAGATACTCGCTTTTCTGCGATAGGATTAATAAGAAAAGGTAAATAGTCTTCGCTGCCGAGCGATATAATTTTCTTATTGTTTCGAATAAATTATCAATTTACCATCATTCTTTCTCCACCAAATCTACAACAAATATTTTGCTTGAAAAATACAATAAATTGTGATCATCAATGAAAATCTTAAGTGGAATAAATATAATGAATAATTAAATAGTTCACACTTTCATAAAAAAATAAAAACAAAAATTTCCCTAGTGTATTATATTCATCAGAGTTTCAAATTTTTCAGAAAAATTTAACAATCTTTCAATGAAAATATAATTTTAAAAATATGTGGAAAACTTTTAATAAAAATGTAATTTTAAAAATAATAAAAAAAATAAGTGTATGTGAGAGCAAAAAGAAAGAAAGAATTATTATTTGATAAAATATATTAATAATATTAGTAATGACATTAATAATAATAGTAATAATATAATAATAATTAATAATAGTGATAATAATAAATAATAATACAAACAACTTTTAGTAAATATTTAGTTAATAAAGTCAAATTGAATCAAAGGACATTAAGTCCTGATTGAGTTTCAATAATTCTAATTTGTTGTCGAAAATTGAATTGAACATTTTTATTTTTCGGAGACAAAATTTTTTGCGAGAAAACTAGTAATAATAATGATAAGAGAAAATAAAAATAATAAAACTAACATTAACTTTACATTCTTTATTCATTCATTTACATTATTTGTTTTTACCATTCTTATTTTTCAATTTACATTACTAATTAAAACAGCATTCAATTAATTTTCTTCGTATAATGAATTCTTTGAGAAATTCTCGGATTTTTATTTTCTGAAAAAGATTTAACAAACTCTTTCTTTGTCTTTCTTTCCCTCTCTTTCTCCTTCTTCCTCTTTCTCTCACTTCACATTAGCAAAACTTTGAATTTATTTGGCTATTAATTGTGGATGAAATAAGGTGCTGTGATAGTTTGCTATATCTTTTGGAATTTGCTAAATTAAACTCATCAAATTTTATTCATTAATTTGATATATGCACGTTTTTCTTTTTTCCTTTTTTTTTTTTGTTTTCTTCTTTGATATCATTATCCGATAAATCATTTATCATTGCTGATAATATCTCTTATTGTCCTAATTGGCTGCAATTTAATAACAATGAAATATGGTAGTTAATATTTTAGTAATAAATAGGGAAAGTAACGTTTGCTTATATATATATATATTTTAAATGTTTATTTATATTTTTTTATCCATTATTTGCAAAAATTTTAAAATTCATTTCTTAATTATTTGCAATAGTTCAATTTATTTGTATGACATTATATTGGGGGAAAAAATTGTATATTCCATCTCAAATCAAAACCCTGTTTTTGTTCAGATACGGTGAACAATTATTACCTTGAATCCTGACACTCTGTCTCGTCCAAATACTGGAGTAATTATTACTCTTGAACTCTAGTTTTTCTTATTCAAATGCGAAAACAATTATTATCCTTGAACTCTCAAATTTGCTTAAGTGACAAATTTTGCATTTGTTAAAATGAATGATTGAAACATTTGAAATATCTCAGATATTCTGATAGTTATTCAGATCATAAATCAATATATTTTACTATTAATTTGCTATTAATAGAAAAAATTAATGTAATGTGTTTTTAACTTTTTATATTGATAAATTTTTCTTACAATTCATAAAATTTAACTTTATTATTTTGGAATAATTCAAAATTTTATATACTTAACAAGAATTTATTTATAGTTTTTCCTTCTTCATTGATTTTTTTGCAAAATATTACATTCAAAATTAATAAATTATAGAAGTTTTGATTCTAGAACTATTGAGACTTTTATATTTTTAGGAGTATTGAAATTTCAAAGTTCTTGATTTTTTTATGAATTATGCAAAACTAATATTAACCTCTTACATCATCGTAATACGTAGCATAATGATCACTATCTTCACGGAAATTTCATGTTGTTGATTTAGTGAGTGATTTTTTTGCATTTATACTAATCCAAGTAGAATATGAGTTGTTATTGTTTGTTTATCAATTTATTCCAGTTCATCTTCAATGACAGGTCTATAAGTTATGGTGATATAAGGACGTCGTAGTCATCGAAGAGTTGAAACAGTGGTTTGTAGGCTAAAAATTAAGGTATTGTTGCAACAGTTAAATTAGTGTTTCTTAACAAATCTGTTAAGAGTTTTATAATAGTTATATCTAATAGTTAGATCAAAAATCAACATTTTTTGTCATTAATTTGCTATTAATAGAAAAAATTAATATAATATGTTATTAACTTATTTTACACTGATAAAATTTACAATAATTTTATCATTTTGGAAAATTTCAAATTTCATAAATTTGACGAGAATTTATTCGTCGCTTTTCTTTTTCTTCATGATTTTAAAAAATCATAAATTTATAGGAATAAAATGTAATATTTAACAAAATAAAATAAGAATAAATACATACAAAACAATAAAATTAAAAAACGAAAAGGAAATGAAGAAGTATACTCTGAAATTTTTGTCTGAAATTTTTGTCTGAATCGGTGATAGCACCAATTATTGTTTTTGTCTGCTCAACTTAATCAATATTTTCAGAAATTTCAAATAATATTAGATCTAAGTCCGGAATAATAGATTGTATTCTGGTTTATATTAATGATGCTATCATAGTTGTTTCCGTTATCGCAATATAGTTCTCAATATCATCAATATCTGTTCTCAACATCAACAATATACAACCACTTTCAACCTAAAATTAGTTATGAACATTGAATTTATTCATCATTTCGTACTATATTTTATTGGATAATTTTTTATTTGTTGAATATTTTATTTCTAAAAAACATTATTAATCTATCTACTACTTTTTAATATATATTATTTTTCCATCAATATCTATTATTTAGCTCATTATTTCTGTTCATTTTTTATTAAATAACCATTAATTTATATATATTTAAACATACTAATCTTAACACATCCGTCCTAGCTTATTTCTTCTTTTGTCGCGAATTATAATTTCGCAAAAAAATTTATCTAAAAAAAAAAAAATAAATATATAATTTTTAATAAAAATTAATTAATCATTTTTAGTTTCATAGTTTTGTAAACACTTGCAATCCTCATGATTTATTACTCATGAGATTTTGAGTAAAATTTATTGTAAACACTTCCAATTCTTAACGCACATGATTTTATCTTAGACACGCCCAATCCTCACTCATATAAATTCAATTCTAATAAACAAAAGGTTTCATAGTTATCATTATTGTCGACTACTTTCTGTTAACCAATATCAATTCCTCCGATCTTCTTTATTATAAGTCTCTTCTCTCCTTTTACTGCTCTGTTTATTAATACTACGTTTGCGAAAAATAAAGGCTTGTTAATCCTTCTACTGTATTGCAAACAATTCTAATATCAACCAACAAACCTCTCACGACATCTTTTGGTTTTTTTGATTTCTCGAATTTACTACCATAACTACTATTATCATTTTCAATCATTTTGCTGAAATTGATGCCAATATCGCCATCTTGTAAACCAATTTCTGTAAAAAGCTAGCTTTAAAAAATTTTTTATTTCATATATTTGAAAAACATCTTTTCTTTGTAAAAAATGCTTACTAATAAATCATCAAAACAATAAATAATTGAAATATACCTTTAGCATTATTTTTTGATGATTTACTAGCAAGTAATATTACCTATCCTTTAGCTCCACTTGCTCTATTGATGAATTACGCAATGAAATCAGGATTTGAAATAAGATCATCAAGAATTTTCTATCCCATCTGCAATAATTTATATTCTTTTCAGATTTGGAATTTCTTTACAATATTAAAATCAGAAGCACAAAAATGATTCACAATTATTCAAAAAGAGTATATTAGTCATTATGTGATTGTGTGAATCATTATGTAAATAAATTTAAAAAAAGAAAAAAATGAGCGAAAAACAAACCATGCAAAATACCTGAAAGTTAATAAAAACTTCACTTTTTCTAAATACATCAATAGCTTTGTAAATATTCTCACAACTAAGTCGATTACAAATTCCCAATATTTCTGGTAAATTAAAAATTAAAATTTTCCTTTGTATCTGTTAAAAATGACTCAAAAATTTTTGCAAAATCGATCGCTTTTGCTGAAAATAAAAGCAAAAACAAAACAAAGGTGACAGCTGAAAGAAAAAAGTGTATTCATTACGTTATTTACAATTAATTCATCAATTTATTTCAAATGATAACATTTCTCAAAAAATCTGAAGCAAAATGTTTTATCTATTTTATTCGAAGAAAAATTTACAAGAGAAAGAAAAAGCTCATCTACATTTATTTTCAACCATTTCCAATTAATTGAAAAGTATATTTTTGAGAAATTTTGAATATCTTTTTATTTTTCTTTTTGTGTTAAATAAGGAATAAATTAAATAAAAAAGTAAAAAAAAAATTATCTAAGATAAAAAATAAGTATTAAATGAAGAAAAATTATTTAGGAGTGAAGAAAAAAATTGTTGATTTATCTTAATGACAGTGAGATATAAATAATAATATGAATATTAAAAAGCGCTATTATACTTCTACTTTTTATTAGATAACTCTTTAAATGATATAAAATTTGATAGGAATACAATACATTTTAATCATATCTCATTCCTAATTCAAAATTGATAAATATTTCACAAATTTATATATATTAAATTAATATCTGAAAGACTAGGTTTTTTCCCTTTTTTTAAAAAAAATTTAACAGTTGCTGATTAAACTTAGCATATCACATATACCTACATTAAATATAAATAGAATTGCAGTAGTGAATGATTTTTTTTAGACTCTATAACATTTTTTTCTTATTTATCCAAATGTTTCCATTGAATTTCATTTTTGAATTCTTAATTTATTCAAGAATAAAAAATAAATTATTTCATTAATATCACTAGAAACATTTTGATTTTTTCATTAGCTCATACCATTTCTCTACAGATATAACAATATCACTAGAAGACATTTTGATTGTTTCATGTCACTTCTCTGCAAATATAACAATATCATTAGAAGGCATTTTGATTGTTTCATGTCACTTCTCTGCAAACATAACAATATCATTAGAAGACATTTTAATTACTTCATTTACTAGTACCATTTCTCTGCAGATAAAACAATATCACAAGAAGACATTATTCATAACTTGTACCATTTCTCTACAGATATAACAATTTCACTAGAAGACACTTTGATTGTTTCATAAACTCATACCATATCTCAACAAATATAACAATATCACTAGAAGACACTTTGATTGTTTCATGTCACTTCTCTGCAACAATATCACTAGAAGATATTTTGATTAATTCATTAACTCATACCATTTCCTACAGATAAAACAATATCACTTGAAGACATTTTGATTGTTTCATGTCACTTCTCTGCAAATATAACAATATCATTAGAAGACATTTTGATTAATTCATTAACTCATACCATTTCTCTACAGATATAACAATATCACTAGAAGACATTTTGATTAATTCATTAACTCGTACCATTTCTCTGCAGATAAAACAATATCACTAGAAGACATTTTGATTAATTCATCAACTTGTACCATTTCTCTACTGATTTAACAATATCACTAGAAAACATTTTGATTTTTTCATTAGCTCATACCATTTCTCTACAGATATAACAATATCACTAGAAGACATTTTGATTAATTCATTAACTCATACCATTTCTCTACCAGTATAACACGAACACAAGAAGACATTTTGATTACTTCATTAACTCACACCATTTCTCGACAGATATAGCAATATAACTAGAAGACATTTTGATTAATTCATTAACTCATACCATTTCTCAATAGATATAAAAATATCACTAGAAGATATTTTGATTATTTCATGCCATAATTCTGCAAATATTACAATATTACAAGAAGATAATTTGATTAATCACAATATCACTAGAAGATGTTTTAATTAATTCATTAACTCATACCATTTCTCTACAGATATAACAATATCACTAGAAGACATTTTGATTACTTCATTAACTCATACCATTTCTCTACAGATATAACAATATCACTAGAAGACATTTTGATTAATTCATGCCACTTCTCTGCAAATATAACAATATCACTAGAAGACGTTTTGATTACTTCATTAACTCATACCATTTCTCTACAGATATAACAATATCACTAGAAGACATTTTGATTACTTCATTAACTCATACCATTTCTCTACAGATATAACAATATCACTAGAAGACATTTTAATTACTTCATTAACTAGTACCATTTCTCTGCAGATATAACAATATCACTAGAAGACATTTTGATTAATTCATTAACTCATACCATTTCTCTACAGATATAACAATATCACTAGAAGACATTTTGATTACTTCATTAACTCATACCATTTCTTTACCAATATAACAAGATCACTAGAACACATTTTGATTATTTCATGCCATAATTCAGCAAATATAACAAGATCACTAGAAGACATTTTGATTAATTCATGCCATAATTCTGCAAAAACATAACAATATCACTAGAAGATATTTTGATTAATTCATTAACTAGAAGACGTTTTGATTACTTCATTAACTCATACCATTTCTCTACAGATATAACAATATCACTAGAAGACATTTTGATTAATTCATTCCCCTTCTCTACAGATATAACAATATCACTAGAAGACGTTTTGATTACTTCATTAACTCATACCATTTCTCTACAGATATAACAATATCACTAGAAGACATTTTGATTAATTCATTCCCCTTCTCTGCAAATATAACAATATCACTAGAAGACATTTTGATTACTTCATTAACTCATACCATTTCTCTGCAAATATAACAATATCACTAGAAGACATTTTGATTAATTCATGCCATAATTCTGCAAATATAATAGTATCACTAGAAGATATTCTGATTAATTCATGCCGTAATTCTGCAAATATAACAATATCACTAGAAAATATTTTGATTAATTCATTAACTCATACCATTTCTCTACAGATAAACAATATTACTAAAAGATATTTTGAATAAATTCATTAACTCATACCATTTCTCTACAGATATAACAATATCACTAGAAGACATTTTGATTAATTCATTAACTCATACCATTTCTTTACCAATATAATAAGATCACTAGAAGACATTTTGATTAATTCATGCCATAATTCTGCAAATATAACAATATCACTAGAAGATGTTTTGATTAATTCATTAACTCATACCATTTCTCATAGATATAACAATATCACTAGAAGATATTTTGATTATTTCATGCCATAATTCTGCAAATATTACAATATTACTAGAAGATATTTTGATTAATCAATATCACTAGACGATATTTTTAATTAATTCATTAACTCATACCATTTCTCTACAGATATAACAATATCATTAGAAGACATTTTGATTACTTCATTAACTCATACCATTTCTCTACAGATATAACAATATCACTAGAAGACATTTTGATTAATTCATGCCACTTCTCTGCAAATATAACAATATCACTAGAAGACGTTTGGATTACTTCATTAACTCATACCATTTCTCTACAGATATAACAATATCATTGCAAGACGTTTTGATAACTTCATTAACTCATACCATTTCTCTACAGATATAACATTATCACAAGAAGACGTTTTGATTACTTCATTAACTCATACCATTTCTCTACAGATATAACAATATCACTAGAAGACATTTTGATTACTTCATTAACTCATACCATTTCTCTACAGATATAACAATATCACTAGAAGACATTTTGATTAATTCATGCCACTTCTCTGCAAATATAACAATATCACTAGAAGACATTTTGATTACTTCATTAACTCATACCATTTCTCTACAGATATAACAATATCACTAGAAGACATTTTGATTAATTCATGCCACTTCTCTGCAAATATAACAATATCACTAGAAGACATTTTGATTAATTCATGCCACTTCTCTGCAAATATAACAATATCACTAGAAGACATTTTGATTTATTGATTAATTCGAACCATTTCTCTGCAGATATAACAATATCACTAGAAGACATTTTGATTAATTCATTAACTCATACCATTTCTCTACAGATATAACAATATCACTAGAAGACATTTTGATTAATTCATTAACTCATACCATTTCTCTACAGATATAACAATATCACTAGAAGACATTTTAATTACTTCATTAACTAGTACCATTTCTCTGCAGATATAACAATATCACAAGAAGACATTTTGATTAATTGAAAAAGAAGTATGGCATGAATTAATCAAAATGTCTTCTAGTGATCATGTTATATTGGTAAGAAATGGTATGAGTTAATGAATTAATCAAAATATCTTCTAGTGGTATTGTCAAATTTTTGTACTGAAATGAAATAGCTGCAATGTTGTGAGTTAGCAGGAAACCAAGAAGAATAAAATTGCAAAGGAAAGGCAGAATCAGAGGGGAAGAGAAGAGAGAAAAAAGGAAGAAAGATTGACAATATAAATTGATTGTACGGAAAGAAAAAATAATTGATAAATATTTCAAATATAATGAATAGATAGATTGGGAGACACAGAGAGTAAAAGGCAGTAAGGAAGTGAAAAAGTTAACGAGATTTGAGACAGAGAGAAAGTATACTTTGTTTTCTTTAATTTTCAAAATAAGACATTACATAGATATGAATCATTTTATAAATGATCAATGGTTGTTGTCAATTAAAAAATGAGAAAAGAACAAAAGGTTGAAGTCAATTTGAAAAAAGACGAAAAAACAAGTCCAAAAATTACAAAGTACCAATAAAAGAAAAAGTACAAAAAAAAATTCTTTTAAAAAAAATTTATCTTGCAAAATTTTTATTTTACATGAATTACCTTGCAGAATGTAGTCTTGTTGTAAATTAACTGAGTAAAGATTTTGAAAAGATTTGGGTAGATAAATGACTGGGTGAAGGATGCAAAATAATTAAATAATGATTATAAAAGTTAGAAAGTGGAATTGGTTTAAAGCAAAGAAGCAAAAAATAAAAGAATTTAGTTTCAATAACACACAAGGATTTGATGAAATTTTTGGGTTAAATTTACAAAATACTTAGATAAAATTATATATGCTACAACAATTTTGATGCTTGTATTTCATTTCGAAATAATCACTTTTTTTTTATTTGAGAATAAATTTTATTACCAAATTAAATACTATAAAATAAATAAGCTTTTGTTTGAATGTATGGTATAATTTTAATATTAGCTTCATAATTTTAAGGTTGTTTCAACTGTAGAGTTGCATAAAAGTAAAATAATAACGTTTTTTTTTTTTTTTTTCCTTTTCTTAAAAAAGAAGGCATGGATAAGTTTCAATATTGAATACTTTATTTTCTTCATTAAGTTAAAGATTATGAAAGTGAAAATCTGAATTGCTTTAAAGCAAATGAAGTGAAAGAAATTAATTAATTTGATTTCAAACAGTATTTATATTCATTTATTAAATTTTTTATTGTTATACATTTTTAATTGCAGGAAATAATGTATCTTATTTTATGAATTTTTTAATTATTTTCTAGTATTAGCAAATAATTCATTCGTATTTTCCCAAATTTATGAATAAAAAATATTGATTGTTCCTTCCTTAAACTTCCTCATAAATTTATACAGGGGGACTTTTTTTTACGCGAATGTCTACCACAAGAGCGAAAGAAATTTTTTCTTTTCAATATCTGTTCGACATGATCCAAGCGATTTCATAGCAACCAACTCTCTTATTTCATGGAATAGCGTGACACAGTGGCGAATCTGATAATGTGGTTGTAGGTGAGTGGCGCATGACTGCATTTTGTGTAGGGTGAGCGTTATTTGACAGAGGTCATAGTTGTATGAGTCAATTTGGTTAGACTTGGCGACATTGCTAGACTGCATGTGCTGATTTTTCAGAAGAATTGTGTTCTTAGAAACGATGAAAATATTATGTGATAAGATAAAAGCTTAAAGTGATGCATTTTTCTTTTTCTACTAGTAAATGAAAAATATTAAGGTGAAATATGTCAGCTGCGGATGGTAAGCAGCTGCATTGCTTATCGCAGGAGTTGGTACTGGTAGTACCAATGTGATGTATGAAGGTGATCTAACAGATAATAGTATTCCGGACATGCAGGTACTTTTACTTATTATTTGGTAGAATATAAATCATCAAGTTATGCTATGTCTTCCAGTGAAAGGAATGAATAGACAGCTCATAGAGTTTTTTTTTTTTTTTTTTTTTTTTTTGAAATACATATTTGTATATAGTTTTATTTTTAAATAATAATATAAGTGTACTTTGTTTAACTGGGTAGAGAGTTAGTAGTTATATTTTAATATATTCATATTGTATTTAGCTAATTTTTCCTTCCAGTCTTTTAGTTTATTAGTATTAGTTAAACCATGTGCTTGATTTATTAAAGATTGATTCTCATTCATCGAACAAAATTCAGGTTTTCGAAAAAAATTCACATTTCCTTTCTTTATCAATATTTTGCATAGTAATATATGTTTTCCATTTATGGCGCTAATTTGATTCGTGATACGTCATCATATTTTATAGAACATAACAAAGAAGAACGACATTTTGCCACTGTGGGGCAATACGCAGACAATGAATTTAAATGCTTTGGTATTGGAGAATATTATCCAATGCATTTATTACAAAAATTACCTTGCGGAAACTACAGGATTTCAACAACTTACAGAAGAAATTTATTACAGTATAAGTTGTTTTATATTGTAACATATGTAAAGCAAACTATTCCGTTATCTTTTTTGTTTTCATCATCATTGAGTAACTGCAATTTCGTACACGGTTATAATGTAGTTTTTTTTTTATGCTAATAACAGCTCATTTCAGGTGAGACATCTTGAACCCTAGGAGCGCGGTACACGGAAAACACAAGGGATAACCGCATGTGCGGCGGGATCAGTTGCATTCCTTCTTTTCCTGGTATTTCACATCTTCTTTAATTGAAAACTTAATAAACTATATAAACATAATCATCTTATATACGCAAGTTAATCTCTAGGTGAGAGGTGTTGGTGCTGGTGGAGTGGTGAGTACGGCATTCTGTCTTCTTTATAAACTTTTCACTATTCGGCTCTCCAGGTATGGATAAAACGTAACTCACTAAAAAACCATACCTGGTTTTGTAAATCATTGTAAGTTTCAGTGGATTTTCATTTGTGTTATCATCAACTGTTTTATAATATATTTTAAATTCATTTTCTTGCATTTTCTTTCTAGTAATTTTGCTTATAATTTAACATATGTGCAGTAACATTTTGTGAGTTTGTCAGTTTAAATTTCAGTTTATATTTGAGCATTACTAATTGTTAGTAATGCTTCAGTGAGATAATGTAAGTAACTGTTATTATGGCTCTGGTTTTTTCAACATTGGGCACTATTGCTAAGCATTTGAAAGTCTGTTTGATTCATCGTAGAATTTTAGGAAACAGCTGGTTAGTATGATTAACAACAGCGATTCACCGTACATACGAGGTATTGATTTCATGTACATCCGATTTTGTCAATCACCACAAGATTTATGTGCCTGGATAGTCAGTATGAAGATATGCTTATGCATATGCATATTTGTTTCTGTAAATACATATGACGATTGGATTTTTTTTATTTTTTCTATATAATATAGATCTTGATTATTAAAAAAATTATCAATTTATTCTAGGGGTATACCAAGAGAAGAATCTTGTACAGTGTTTTTTACTGATGTTCAAAAACATTTAGTAACAAACTTAAGGAAAGAAATCGACCGGAATGCAATAACAGAAGCCTCATTCTGAGCCGAAATAACATTAAGGAGAAGAGTATTACATATATTGATTCCCAAAGATTGAAGCAGTATACCATTGTTTAAATTTTTAGTAAATTCATAGGAATAAATCGAACTCTCCCTTAAAACATTAACTATGAACAAATCACAAGTACACTCGATTTATCAAATATTTGCAGAAATCACTTATTAATTTCATTTATGTCAAAAGTCCTTATCAATTCGCTCATTTCATAATGTATTATTGGATCGAATTGTATGTTTTCATATTTAAATATCTTATTTGCAGATTTTAATTCAGTGTTAACAAAAAAGTTATCAATGATGAAATTTGATGCATGAATGATTCTCAAAAATATACTTTTTAAATTAATAAAATAACCTATTCAGTTAATTATATAAATAAGAAGAATTTATAAACCTTTATCAGTAATATTAAAGTATCTTATTAATATATGTAAATTTTTTGTTTAATTTTTTTTAAAAAAATAGAAAATGTTTTATTTTTTTAAAAAACAGAGATTTTTTTTTTGTATATAGAAATTATTTCTTGTTTTAATTTCAATTGTTTTTTTCCCAAAGAAAAAAATTCCCAAAATAAAAAATTAAATTCGAAATTTTTAAAATAAAGTTCTTGTTCCTAGCATTTGAAAATACTTCAAACCTCTAAAGAGTTCCTTTATCATCTTTCTAGAAACGAACACAAGCAAGGCAACAATGACTCTTGTAATCAACCAATTATCGCTTACACAATAAATAAGTCGCCACTTTTCAACCTCTCCAATTATATCCAAAAATCATTCAGCAAATTCCATATATTATAATGTTTAATCGTTTATAGATTGATGTACGATGTTCAGATCTACGTTTTCCCGAAGTTCATTATATGCTTGTGATTGTTTGTGTATAGCAGCTGGATTTTGGTATTATGTCTTCGCACTTGTTTTTTTTTTTTCCTTGTTCATGTTTTTTTGACAAAAAAGGAGGTTTAGATAAAGTTAACACATTAATTTGAATTCTTTGCATATTCAGAAAAAAATTTTCTAAGAAAAAATCGAGCTAATAGGATGTTTATTTTTTATATCATGTTAACGTTTCGAAATGAGAATGCTGATAACTGTATTTAAAAAAAAAAAATAACAGCGCAAGAGTATGACGAACTTATATATGGATTTTGGCATTACTGTACTTGATTCGAGTATACTTATGTGCTTGCTATAGAATTTGTCCTCTCATTCTTTTTACAAGCTCAAAAATAAAATTTTTGAGTTTGTAAGCAGTAAAAAAGCAGATTTAGATGGATGTAAAATATAGTGTATAGTAATGCCAAAATCCATATATAACTTGTCATACTCTTACGCTGTTGGTCCATCCAGTTGGCTTGTGCTAAATGTAAAAAATATAGTGTCCCTTTATTCCGTATGCAAAAAAAAAAAAAATCCAGATCAAAGTAATGGATATTTCTGTGAGACTTTAAAAGTCCTTCATGGTGCTATTTTCTGCATAAGTGGATAATCTATTGAAATATGTCTACTAAGAGGATTGAGAGACGATAAATTTTGTAAGGTTAAAGGGCATGAGAGATTATCTGAAGTTTATTGGCTGGTTGCTTCGTAAAAAAATCAGTATGTCAATTCATATTCATTTGTTCAACTGATCTTTAAATAATATACATAGATTTGAGATGGCAAGTTTTAATTCAAATGAAAACAATAACAAGCTTGTTTTTCTGATAAAAGTCATTTGTAAATTCTAGTTTGAAGCAACAACACTAGTTGGTATTGATGTCTATAATATATAAATATCATTTATAAAAATTATGTTAGTTCAATATTACATATATATGTGTTAATTTAAGCTTCTAAAAAGTTTTTGAGCTATTATTGTTTGTTTGATAATTTAGAAAGATACCGAGGGTGAGTAGAACAATTTATATTATAAGAGATATTTTCAAAACTCTAAAAGTCATATTTAGTATACGTAATTAAGAAAGTATGTTAGATGAAGCTTTCTGTTGGGCATAGTAATAAATAATAAGCCATCATAATAAGTTAAGATTTGTTGGTATTATTATGTAAAATTTGTTAGTAAACTGGTTGATATTATCTTAATAAACAATCAGTACATCCATATTTATCAAGAAAAGAAAAATGAAAATATGATGGAAGTTTCGCAAGTAAGATCCAATTAACTAAAATAATCCTAGAAATTATTTGGCCCAGCTGTAAACTATAAGAATTTGCCAGGTATATTTTATTGCTTATTGTAATACGTCATATATTTAAATGAAATACTTATGTCCTCGTTTATTTCTTCTATGCGTCCTCTACTTTTTTCTACTTTTAATTCAAATTCTTTCTTTTTCTTTTCCCTTTCTTTCTCTTTCCCTTCCTGTAGAGGATTTATTTTAGAAGATAATGAGAAATATTTTATTAAAAATGGATTGCATGCGGAATAGTTTATTCTTACTCTTATAACAGCAGCAAAAAGACTGTAATCGAAAGAGTCTTGGCAATTCAAAAAATTGACTCAAAATTCGAAATAAATTCTCGATCATTATAACTGATAAACTCGAAGTTTTAATGTAGTTTCTGTAAATGCATATTTCTTGAAGTTTTTTTTTCACCTTTTTTCTAAAATTGTTTAAAATGTTAATTTGCTCATCATAGCCATCTGATTTTATGCTTCACTTGTTTTATCTGTCCACATAATTCGTCACCTATGAGATAAAAGAATTTATCAATTGCTAATTTGAAATCTGTTAGTGTCTTTTGGAATTTGAAAAGTGTTTTTCTATATGCAAAGCAATAGGTAAATTAGCAAACAGAGTGGTGTTAAAATTGTTGAAATTAAAAACATTCATCAAGTTACTATTAGTTCTGACAATTGAAAGATCATTGCGCTTGTTAAGGATTTAATGAAGGGTCAATGAGGAATCGTTCTCGAAAGTGTTATATGGTTGGTTGATGTGAAAATTTTCCCTCACACATCTCCAACAAAGGAAACATAAAAAATTGAAACATGTAGTCGGATAGATCAAAAGCGGCGTTCCATAGGTTCTATCCTATGTAATTTTTGCAGTAAAATTTCTGTATGGAAAAAGATCATCCAATACCTGTTTGTATGTCCGTTTGTCCATTTCATTTTATTTGATTACAAATATTTACTATCTGTCGTTTACGTCAATTTACATGTTTCTATTTTCCTATTTCTATAACCAAATTGTTCAACAAAAACTTTTTTTATTCTTCGATATTTGCAGAAAGAGGAAATTCGCAGCACGACAAAGATTTGTCCTCTACAACTGGATAGATTGTTAAAGCTATAAATTGTGGGAATTCTCATATTTTAGAATGCTTAGTTGTTTGCAATCAGAATCCAAAGAAGGTAAAATCATGCATATCTCATAGAAATTCTCTATAAAATATATTTTCTCTGCGTTTTCGTTCTCTTTGTCTCTTTCTTAGGTCTGATAGATTTCTTTTAAAATGGATAATGGATAATTTTCATAAGATTTGATGAATTATCCATCAAGTTAATCTTTTAATACCTTTTCAAATGATCTTCCTTGATATTGCATAACAGTAGATTTAATATAAACATACAGCATTCAATTGATATGCTCAAAAATGAATTGATAATTGAATATTACAGTGTTAGTCTTAAAAATTAATTTGTTATCCTCTGTCTAATCATATTTCTAATCTATCACCAATTGAAATGATAACAGCAAATAACAAAAAAGACATCATAATCATAGCATATAAAAGACATAAGTAATTCTTTTTTATCTTAATTTTTATTCTTACTTTTCTATTGTTCCCTTTTTCCATTTATAGTTTATCTGTAAACCTTCTCTTTTAAGACAAGTACTGTTTTCATTTTTTTTTCTGGTAAAAATTATAATCAGTTATATAATCAACTGAAATATTAGTTTTTTTACTGCATTTTTTTACTGCAAAAAAGATTTCTTTTTTACTATTCCATCCTTTTCTACCTCGTAGTATAGTAAAAGCATCACTTTTTTCTTATGCGATCATGGGTCTTTTATTTAAAAAAGGAATGTGAATAAAATATCTTTCACATTATGAACTTTCTAAATAGCTAATTATGCATCATTTGAAAAGAATTATGAGGAACACTGTGGATATTTCTGCATGTTCATCTGAAAAAATTTACTATTTTCATTTATCAAACACTTAATTTGCTCTAATAGTTGAGATATTTGAAATGAAATAGCTAATTAATCAGTTTAGTTCTAAGCTAACTGATTTGTATCTGAAATTAATCTTAAAATTGTAAATAATAATTCAAATGAAAAGTAGAAATAGTCCCTCACGAAGAAACATTACTATGAATAGTCGATTTGGTTAAGTGTTCATTGAGGTAAACTGGCAATAGTTGGCGGTTATCATCGAGGCAATTAGATTTGGCCTTGAGGTGTTCTCCATTTTTGCTACTTGGACTATTCCAAAATCCGAGTGTCATCGGTACCAATCTCCTTTCGTCATCATCATTATCATCATTGCCAACCTTATCTAATAGTTTGGGCATCGCACTACAATGAATCCGATAAATCATTTTTCAATTTCAAACTATGTAAATTGTTCAAAGCATTATAGAATGACTATTGCTAGTACAAACTATCATCATTGTCATTTATTGTCATCACTGTCAGCGACAGTCCTGTTACTTAACAGTAATGATATTATCAGTATCTTTAAGCAAATAACTATAGAACTTTAGAATTATGTGTATTAGCTAATCAGAATTTATGAAAGTATTCATTTTTAACATTCAAAAATTTTAAAATGTGGTGTACAGTTATGTAGAAACAGAAGAAATCAGCAGTTTTAGCCGTAAACAGAAATTCGTTTCAACTGGAATTTCTATAAAGTGACATATAATTTATTGATCACTACTTAGAGATAATATTTTGACCATAAAATCTTATCAATTTCGTTATTTCCTTTTGATAGTTTGTTTGCAATATATTTTAATTTCAATATATATATAATCTTAAACAGTTTGTTCTATCTGACTGCAGTGCTAAGCTTTCATCATTGATGTTATTTTACTCTTTGCATTTGTGCATTGTATCGATTTGTATACGTAAATATTTTATATGAGCTCATCGTTTAATGTATAGTTATAACATCGTGAATAAATAAGTTATAACAAAGTAATTGAAAAGTAGAGGTTAAAATTTAATGGAATTTCAACAAATTTTTTTGATTTTAAAAATCTTTTGAGCGTAGTAATTACAAGATATGAAGATTAGTAAGTGAATAGGCGCAACGGGCAAGCGTATGTGTGCATGTATTGTCTGTGGAACACTGAAGAAAATCAAATTATAGCCAAACAAGAAAAACTAATTTATAAATCATTCGCAAATGACTGAATTATTGTCTTTTACTTCTATTGTGTATTTCTGCTTCACTGAGAGTCAACATTTAGATTGGAAGCAAAATTTAAGTTTGCTTACTTTAAAGATTATCAAAAAATTTTCAAAGTATTCGAGTAGATTATGAAACTTATTAATATAAATTTAATTTTGAGCATTGGAAAATCATGAATCATAATTATATTTATATTTTGTGAAAAGTTTTGTTTAGATTTCAAAGCCATTTGAGAAATTTCCAACTGCAATTGGAATATAGAATTATTGCATCGAAGTGTTTCTTCAATACTACATGAAATGGAAGGATTATATGTATTGTTCGTTAATAGACTTATGCAACTTACACGTATAATGAATGATTAAAGAAGTCTTCTAACAACTTTTGGTCTTCTTCTATAAATTTCTTCATTATGTCACGCTAAA